CTGAGGAGGAAGGAAGTGGAGACACAGGGAGGAGGGGGAGCCCAGAGAGAGGAAGGGGGGCTGAGAGGGAGCGGGTCCTGGGGAGCAGAAGTGGGGGCCGCACAGGAGGAGGCACTTGAGACAGAGACACGGGTTCAGAGGAGAAGAGTTGGGGAGCGAGTGCAGGGACAGAAAGGGGGACTCAGGGATGAGGGAGCAGGGGGAGCAGCCCTGAGTCAGCAGCTGTGGGAGCGGGACAGACGGGAACAGGCAGCAGAGGGGCCGCGGGCGTGGGGAGGGGAAGACGCAGACGTGTGTGGAGATGGAGCCTCAGAGACCAGGAGAAAGAGCCCCTGAAGGGAAGTAGGTTTCAGGAGTTTCAGGGTCCAGGTGTAGGACAGACAGAGAGAAAAGGGGGAGAGAGCAGGAGAGAGGAGGGGACACAGGAAAGGACCACAGTGGAGAGAAAGGGAGCAGGAGACAGAGACAGATCCACAGACAGAAATACATGTAGTGGGAGGAGGGGACCCTGATCTCGGTGAGGGGTGAGCTGATGGGTTGTGGATGGTTAAGTTGTGATATATCGGCTGTGGATATATATATATCTGTTCATCTCCAGGAGGCAGGGAGAGGGAGAGAGAGTTAGAAACATCAATGAGGAAAGACAATCATTTATCAGCTTCCTCCTGTACGCCCCTCACTGGGGATCAAACCTGAAACCTGGCCATACGCCCGGACTAGGAATCTAACCATGACCTAACCATGGTTCATAGGTCCAAGCTCAGTCACTGAGTTGTGCTGCCTAGGTGTGTCTTTATATTTTTATTTATTTATTTATTTTTTTTTTTTAAATATATTTTATTGATTTCTTACAGAGGTACATGCCCTTGACCGGAATCGAACCTGGGACCTTTCAGTCCGCAGGCCGACGCTCTATCCACTGAGCCAAACCGGTTTGGGCAGCCTTTATATTTTTAATTTAACAGCTGAATTGTATTAGTTATACAGGTTGAATGAGAATTATAAATCTCCAGTTTGTAAGGTTTGGGAATTTTATAATCATTTCCTTCCAATTGCAACCTTTCTTCGCTGAGAGGAGAGAGACTTGTCTGTTGGTCATGGGTCCCTTGTCATTTGCTGGGATGCAACGAGGAAGTGACCTGTGTCTGTCACCATTTGATCCTTTTCTTTCAGGACTATTTAAAGCCTTAGCTTTGTTGCTGTGGGGTGTTTGTGTTCTGTGGATTTACTTTTATGTCTGACAACAATTTATTATTTGAAAACATCCTTAGATAAATCCTCTGGGTCTTCTCAGATCCCCTGAGGAGCTTTAAGAAATGCCCTCAGGTGCACTTTCCCCCATGGAGTTGGACACCTGCTCTGGGTGGGGCATCCTTGGTTACTGAGTTGCTCCAGGTGATTGGAAGGTGAGGACAGGGTATAGCAGGAGGGGTGCTGTAAGCCTTTGTGAGAGTGGGGAGCAGGCTTTGTTCGGGAAGGTAAGGGTGTGCTCTGTTCGGTTTGGGGCGTCAGGACAGCAGCTCACCTCATTTCTGTAGGAGTAGTGGAATCTTTGGGAGGAGAGACACATGAAGACGAAATAAAACACCTCACAGTGTGGTCTCCATGTAGGTGCTCATTGTTCCTGTCTCTGCTGTGACCAAGGACAGGAGAGTTGGCCTTTTCCTCATTTCCAGGTCCTTCTGACTGTGAGTGTGAGGGGAGCTGATTAACAGGCTGTGCTGACATCTTTGAAGGCACATTCTGTGACTCTTCAACATATTGTCACCTGAGAAAACACCCCACACCCGGATCAGGACCAGGACCAAATGGCTGCTTCTCAGGTAAAAGATGTGTCCTGGGTCACAGGCTATGTTTCCTTTTCCTCTGTCATCTGGTGATTTATTTCTCTACTCTGATGTTCTTGTCTTTGCAGGTTGTTTTTCTTTCCTTATTTTATTACTTTATTCAACACAGTCAATGTCAGCACTTTCTATATTTCTCTTTTTTTGTGTTTTTCTTCTTTTTGTCTGTCTTTTTAAAATATATGTTTAATTGCTTTCAGAATGTAAAGGAGATGGAGAGAAAGATAGAAACATCAATTAGGTAGGGAATCATGGGTCAGCTGCCTCCTGCATGCACTGGGTATGGAGTTTGAAGCCTGGAGTGTGCCCTGACGAGGAACCTAAGCCTGCCCTCCTGGTTCATAGGTGAGCCCTCTACCTCTCAGCCACACTGTCCGGGTTATACTCCCCTCCATTGTCCCAGAGCCTTTTCTGCATGCATTTTATCACCCTCCCCAGCTGTGGTTGTAAATTTGTGTTTTTGTAAATCCTCCCCTGAGAAGATCTTTTCCTACCTATTTTCCATTAACTTTTCAAGTGTGGAAGTCAGGGAAGTAGGGGCAGAAAAAGGAAAGGGAGAGAGAGGGAAAGGGGAGAGGGAGGGGGAGGGGAATTGGGAAAGGGAGGCTTAGAGGAAGCATTCAGGAAGCATTCCTACCTTTAATCAGTGACTTTCAACTACTGAAAATGTCCCTTTTGTGACAGATCAAAGTTGGAAGGCAGCCATGTCTAACATCCCTATTGGGATGGTGTCAGGGGCTGGAAATGTCTCTCTTATCAGAGGCTGAGGTATCAGTGAAGAAGGCAAATGCAGGTTTTAGTTTCACGTGGCTGCAGCATCAGCTATAGATCAGGGGTAAGAAGCTGCACATCTGACTGCTCAGAATAGCTCAGAAAGTTCTGAAAAAAGGGCAAATAGAAGAGACTTGCTCATTAGATAAGTACGAGAGACTTGTTCGGTAAATGTACTGTTAGCTTACAGAACATGAGAGGCACAAGTGGATTGGCACTTGCAAAAACTAATGTTTATTTGTGATCATTTCCACATATTTACTTATTGAGGTATTTTTGGCAGTAATGTCACAGCAGTGGTGACCTGACCTTCCATGTGCCTCAGTCACCTGATGCCCATTGTCTCAGTCCACCTGATGTTCACGTGGCAGAGGTGCTCCCCTCACTGTAGAGTTAATAGTTGTGAGGTCCAGGTGGATACGGGGCGCCAAGGGAACCGCAAACACAAACTGAACATTGGCAAGGGACTTTCCATCTCCACCAAACATCCCGTTTCCAGCCCAACTGCAAACTGCTACAAACATTCTGGTAGCGACGGGCAACCGACAACAAACCTGCCTATATAATCTTCCCACTCCCCCTATTGTGTGTGACTCCCCCGGCCTGTGCTTGCAGACCAGGGGACCTCACCTGAGAACATCTGCCTCTTGAATAAACAGTGCATTCTGCTTTTAATTTGTACTCTGGTGCCTTTCTTTGGTCAAATGTTACATTCTTGGTGCCTAAACCCGGGAGACCTTCGTGCCACTGGGCAGGGTCTCCTCTGAGAACCAGAAACTGACACTGTGGTGGGATGGGAAGTTGCAGGAGGTCCCAGGGGCCCCCTGAGGATCAGCCTCTCCGACTAAAGGCTTTACCAGCGATCTCAGTTCCAACCGGCTCTGATGTAGGCCCTTCCTCTGTCGGGGGCTTCTTTCCTGAGTCTCCTTGACTGGAGTTGCAGCTGCCCCAAGGAGACGCTGTCCGGACCTGACAAAGTCTGAGGACGCTCGGACTCGCAGTCCTTCCTGTTTTCTGATGGTGAATTGCCTGCCTTGGGGACGCCCGGGTAGATGTTCTCTCCCCTACCGCACTCTTTCTCTCCCGAAACCGGGACGCTGTTTCGGGCGGGACGAGTGTCTGGGACTCCTGACAATGGGTAGCCAACCCAAACAATCCAAAAACATCTCTAGGGTGCATTCTTTCTAATTGGAACAAACTCGCCTTCTCGGATCTGAGGAAAAAGAAACTAATCTATTTCTGCACTGTCTGGTGGCCTCAATACGTTTTAGATAATGTCTCCCAGTGGCCGCCTGAGGGTACTTTTGATTTCGGAACCCTCATTTACTTCGTATGTTCGCTCTGGCCCCAACCTTTGTGCCTCCTACTGCACCCCCTCCTGCTCCACCTCTCAGGTCCTCTTAGCCACCGCCGAACCTCCAACATTGGCTCCAGGGAAGGACAAGGGCCAGAACTCCGCCTCCAATTCCTCCTCCCAATTCGAACCCTCTGCTTTTACTATACCCCCTGAAGACCTCGAATCTCCCCCTTTCCGGCTCCCTCCTCACCCAGCCGAGGATGAATTTCTCTGTGCCCCGCTTAGTCCCAGCTCTATTAACTCCCCTTCTTCCATTCTAGCCAGCGCTCTCTCGAACTCAAACTGCAAAGCATTAACTGGCAGGGTAAAAGTTCAGGAGGAAAACGGTGTCGCACTGGCTGGGTTCAGTAATTTTTCTATGCCACGGTCCCTGCCCCCAGCACATTCAGCAATCTTTCCATGCCACGGTCCCTCCCCCTAGCACATTCCCTACTGGTCTTATGCCCAAATCAAATCTTTGATTCTGCACCCTCCTCTACGATTCTGGAGTATTGAGTAAAGAAGCAGCCGCCTCCCTGTGCCCCCTCCCACAGGAGGTTGCAGCGTTCCCCCTGTGCGCTCATATTCATTCTAACCGTCTGCCTTCCTCCGTGTGCTCCACCAAATCTCCACCCCCATGACTGCCAGCAAGTTAAATTCACAGGTAGCTGGTCAGTTCCCTTTGGGAGAAATTGCAGCTGGGAAAGATTTCATTCTCCCATCCCAGTACCCACCCCTGCAAGGACTCCGGTTCCTAGAAGGAGTGGAACCAGGGCGGCCCCTTTCTTCCTGCCCGAGGAGGGAGCCAGGGTGGCTTCCAGGTCTCCGTCAGTCCTGATTGACAAATTGGTAGTTAGGAATACCAGGTAAGAGCCTGTGAGGAATGATGGGTCCTCTTGCAGTGAAAGTGGGAGGAATGTTAGAATGCACTGTTATCTAAGGGAAAAGAGGAAGGGATGGAGCAGTGGAAGCCAGGGACCTGGAGGCTGGCGAAAAGGCAGGGGGTGGGGAGGGAGCAGGCTGCATGACGGCATGACTAAGAATGAGGGGGTTATAGGGCTATCATCAAGGAGGCAGGGAAGGGGTCCGGTGGCCAGCGGGCAGGTGGATTTGCCGTCAGTACCCATGACCGAGATCTTGGAAGGATAAAGGGAACCCAGTCGACCAGGAAGGTGACCCACTACCTTCAGTGCGGCCCTGGGCTCGGCGAGCGTGGTGGGGGCCTCCAAGCTGGGCGTCTTCAGTCTTCAGCCAGTCCCAGCATGGCCAGCAGCGGGTCATGACCTGGAAGGGCGGCCCCTCCACACTGGGGTACAGAGGGCTTGCTACCTTTCCAGGGGCAGTCACTTTTCCAGTGGCGCTTTGACCTTATGCCGGGCAGGGCTTGGTTGGAGCCCGGGGCTGGGGGCACTGCTTTGCCCAGTGGCCTTTATTTCCGCATTTGAAGCATTCTCCGGTGGCGATCCTTTCGTTGCACCCCCAACGCGCACAGCCCCCTTGGGGCCATGGTGGCTGCCTTTAGCCGCAGGACTGCAACCAAGTCTGTAGGTCTACCTTCTGTTGAAGGTGGGCATTAAAATGTTAAAGGCCATTTTTCACTTGATCTCGGACCGTGGTCTGAGGGCTCAGGTTAGAGAGTGGGGGGCATAGATTCAGACTCTGCCCTTAGTCCCTTCTGCCTCCCTCAGGCAGAATGGGCGCAGAAATAGAAGAGGCTGTTTTGGAGCTAACATTCTCAGGATTTGGGCTCTCAGGGATAGGGGAGAAGGCGGCTGCTGGTTGAGAGGGTCTGAAGAGAGCATTTCTTAATTTGGGGAAGATCAGAAAAGTGAGAGAGAATGGCTGTCCGGATAAAATCTTTCCCAGCTGCAATTTCTCGCAAAGGGAACTGGCCAGCTACCTGTGAATTTAACTTGCTGGCAGTCATGGGGGCGGAGATTTGGCGGAGCAGAAAGAGGAAGGCCGGCGGTTAGAATGAATATGAGCGCACAGGGGGAACACTGCAACCTCCTGTGGGAGCGGGCATAACCAACTGCTTAACTTCCTAACTCTGTCTGGAATTCCCTGATGCCTTGGCTCCTACCCTTCCTGGGTCCCCTGGTTATCATTTGTCTATTATTAATATTTGCTTCTTATCTCTTACAGTTCCTTCAAAATTGGGCAAAAAACATCACAAAGGTAGCAGTTAACCAGATGCTACTACATCCCTGCTCCCGCATCCCCCTGGACCCTCCGACCCAGGGCCCATAAGCCCACATCCCAACTAAGCCCGAAGCAGCCAGAGCGGTCAACACCCATTATCACTAAAAGGTCGAAATGTAAGGTCCAGGTGGATACGGGGCGCCAAGGGAACCGCAAACACAAACTGAACATTGGCAAGGGACTTTCCAGCTCCACCAAACATCCCGTTTCCAGCCCAACTACAAACTGCTACAAACATATTTATAGCAACCGGCAACCGGCAACTGACAACAAACCTGCCTATATAATCTTCCCACTCCCCCTATTGTGTGTGACTCCCCCGGCCTGTGCTTGCAGACCGCGGGACCTCTCCGGAGAGCATCTGCCTCTTGAATAAACAGTGCACTCTGCTTTTAATTTGGACTCTGGTGCCTTTCTTCGGTCAAACGTTACAATAGTCTCCTTTTCTCAGGAACAAGGGTGTAGTAGTGAATTTTTTTTTTTTTTTTTTTTGTAGTAGCGATTTAATGAAAGTTGTACAAAGACCATCACTTCACATCTGGAAATGTCCCTCTTGTTAGTTTGGGTTTGCTTTGGAAAATGAAGGACTTACTTTTATTTCCTCTAGATCATTGGCTTTTTCATGGGAGCTTTAAACAATCAGGCCTTGATTCTTTACATTTCCCTTCGATTCTATACTCACATGAGAGACATACCCTACACCAGCGGTTCTTAATTTCTGGGTCACGACCCGTTTGGGGGTTGAACGACCCTTTCACAGGGGTCACTAAGACTGTCGGAAAACACATATATAATTACATATTGTTTTTGTGATTAATGACTAGGCTTTATAATAAAGAAGGGTTCCAGGGACTGAAGACCCCTAGGAGGACCAAGAATAGGGACTGAGGGTGTGGGGGAACAGGAAAAACCTTGCCATCTTCCTCAAAACTGATATTTAGACTTAAGTCTCATGTACAAAAAACCCCTGCTGTGTAACGTTGGGTACATTACTTAATCTCTGCAGACTTGTTTGCTCTTCTATAAAATACCCAACTCACAGGGTGATTGTGAGGATTAAACAAGGTAACCTGAGCAAAGCCCATGCTGGGGCCTGGCATGGGGTTGATGCTCAGCAAACACTGGTTTCCTCTTATTCCCTCATCAGGTCTTCAGATTTCCTGAGATTGTCTGCAAAATTGTTCTGAACAAACAAAGAACCACAGTGTTAGAGGCTAGAAGAGATGAGCAGTGGGGCAGAGAACAAGACACAGGTATATGGAAGGGAGAGGAAAGGCGTGCTGGATGCCCACTTGCTTTCCCATGATTTTTAAGACCTCACAAATTAAGTCTGTCTTGTGGGAGCTCCACTTCCCCAGCACCCACTTTCTCCAAGGGATTTAACTTTGATCCACAGCACTCCACTGGGGCTGCACTTAAATGCTCAGTCCTACTATCTTTCTGAGTCTAGTGCCCCATGCAGGGTTAGGCTCATTGAGCTCAATAAATCTTTGTGAAATTAAAATGTCTGTCTTCTCTTGTGGTCATCACTGTAACCAGGTGATCAAACTTAGCTCTGATAATAGTGGGATAGATTGTGGTAGCATAGTTAACCCTGTGACCTCTAAGCAACATAGAACTGTACACTTTATTTATTTATTTATTTATTTAGTTAAGGTTATTTTTATTTACAAGTTTTGAAAAATATAGATTTTTTACATGGGTTACTTGTGCAAAGTTAAATTTAGAAGAATGATAAATGCACTCCCCTCCTCCCAGTTCCCGCCCCACCCTCCGCCCTCCCTCCCCACCCCCTGTCCTCATCCCTAGGTGCACGATTTTTGTCCAGTTTCTTCCCGCATCTCCCATTCCCCTTTCCCCCCCAAGAATAGTCAGTCCATTCCCTTTCTATGTCCCTGATTCATTATAATCACCAGTTCATTCTGTACATCAGATTATTTATTCACTTGGTTCTTAGATTCACTTGTTGATAGATGCATGTTTGTTGTTCACAATTTGTATCTTTACCTTTTTCTTCTTCCTCTTCTTAAAGGATACCTTTCAGCATTTCGTATAATACTGGTTTAGTGGTGATGAACTCCTTTAGCTTTTCCTTATCTGTGAAGCTCTTTATCTGACCTTCAATTCTGAATGATAGCTTTGCTGGATAAAGTATTCTTGGTTGTAGGTTCTTGGTATTCAGCACTTTGAATATTTCTTGCCATTCCCTTCTGGCCTGCAAAGTTTCTGTTGAGAAATCAGCTGACAGTCGTATGGGTATTCCCTTGTAGGTAATTGAGTCTCTTTCTCTTGCTGCTTTTAAGATTCTCTCTTTGTCTTTTGCTCTTGGCATTTTAATTATGATGTGTCTTGGTGTGGTCCTCTTTGGATTCCTTTTGTTTGGGGTTCTCTGCGCTTCTTGGACCTGTAAGTCCATTTCTTTCACCAGGTGGGGGAAGTTTTCTGCCATTATTTCTTCAAATAGGTTTTCAATATCTTGCTGTCTCTCATCTTCTGGCACCCCAATTATTCTGATGTTTGTACGCTTGAAGCTGTCCCAGAGGCTCCTTACACTATCTTCGTATTTTCGGATTCTTTTTTCATTTTGCTTTTCCGGTTGGGTGTTTTTTGCTTCTTCGCATTTCAAATCTTTGGCTTGATTCTTGCGCTCCTCTGGTCTGCTATTGGGTGTCTGTATAATATTCTTTATTTCAGTCCGTGTATGCTTAATTTCTAGTTGGTTCTTTATCATAGCATCGAGGGTCTCATTAGTTTTCGTGACTCTCTCCTCAAGTTTATTGACAGCTTCTAGCACATTTTTGCAAGCCCTCAAAATTGCGATTTTTAGCTCTATATCCTCCATTTCTGTCATGTTTTTTTGTCTCCGCATTTTTTATGCTTTCTTGGTGCACCCCCTAGTGGTCTTTGTGCGCAGTCTTGTTCTAGTTGAGCCTTGATTGTTGTAGTTAATACTAGAGGGATTTGACCACCAGGCCGACTGGCTGTGTGAATCAGCTGTGTCTGCCGCGGAAAACTTCTGTCCTCTGGGGAGGTGCTAATCTAGCCTTTGCCTGAGGCGATCTGGCAAATGGCTCTGCGCAGGGCTTGGGCGGGGCGGGCTCAACAGGGCGGGCGGGCGGAGGGAGCGGTTATGGCCCCTCTCAGTCCCGTTCCCAGAGGCTCTGCTTCTCAGAACCCCCGGAACCGCTGCAAACCTCGGAGGGAAAGCTGCCTTCCAACTGATGCCAGACACTCCCGCTTCTCCCGTTTGGGTCCGAGTCCCCAGCGATTCGCCCGTATCTGGAGCTCAGAGTCTGAGACTCCCCCCTGACCGAAAACGACAACCGCGCTCTCAGCCACCAGCCCGCTTTGCGCGCGCACCTCCGCACCTGAGTTTTTTCCACACTGCGCCTCCTCTGAGCCTCGGTGTGCTGTTATTTTTCCTTCTAGTTGAAGAGTCTCTCCTCAGCCAGCCTTCCTGTGGTTCTGGGTGATGTCCGTTCCGTCTTTTAGTTGTATTTTTGAAGTGGTTGTTTGCGCGGCAGCAGTCTGCGGTGTTTACCTATGCCGCCATCTTGGTCTCTCCGGCTTCACTCTCTGTATTTTCTTGAAAGTTTTCAAGAATGACATTATTAATGTATGTTCAGTTTCATTAAATTTCTACAACATAGTTCTCCACTAATGATACATAAAAATTTTGAAAGAAATGTCCTAATAAGAAAAATTAGTTCCCCTAGGCTGGTGTGATGTTTCTCTCTCTTTCACATATTTCTCTCTCTCTCCTCTCTCTCCCTCTTCTTTTCCCGCCTCTACCTCCCTGCCTTCCACTCTTCAAAAGTCAATGGAAAATATCTTCTCATGGGAGGATTTACAAGCACACAAAGGAAAACAATAGTCTAACTTGTTTTCTATTTTTATCTTTTCTCATTGTGTTTATAAAACACAAAAGGGATCATATCTCTGCGCAGGGCTTGGGCGGGGCGGGCTCAACAGGGCGGGCGGGCGGAGGGAGCGGTTATGGCCCCTCTCAGTCCCGTTCCCAGAGGCTCTGCTTCTCAGAACCCCCGGAACCGCTGCAAACCTCGGAGGGAAAGCTGCCTTCCAACTGATGCCAGACACTCCCGCTTCTCCCGTTTGGGTCCGAGTCCCCAGCGATTCGCCCGTATCTGGAGCTCAGAGTCTGAGACTCCCCCCTGACCGAAAACGACAACCGCGCTCTCAGCCACCAGCCCGCTTTGCGCGCGCACCTCCGCACCTGAGTTTTTTCCACACTGCGCCTCCTCTGAGCCTCGGTGTGCTGTTATTTTTCCTTCTAGTTGAAGAGTCTCTCCTCAGCCAGCCTTCCTGTGGTTCTGGGTGATGTCCGTTCCGTCTTTTAGTTGTATTTTTGAAGTGGTTGTTTGCGGCAGCAGTCTCCGGTGTTTACCTATGCCGCCATCTTGGTCTCTCCGGCTTCACTCTCTGTATTTTCTTGAAAGTTTTCAAGAATGACATTATTAATGTATGTTCAGTTTCATTAAATTTCTACAACATAGTTCTCCACTAATGATACATAAAAATTTTGAAAGAAATGTCCTAATAAGAAAAATTAGTTCCCCTAGGCTGGTGTGATGTTTCTCTCTCTTTCACATATTTCTCTCTCTCTCCTCTCTCTCCCTCTTCTTTTCCCGCCTCTACCTCCCTGCCTTCCACTCTTCAAAAGTCAATGGAAAATATCTTCTCATGGGAGGATTTACAAGCACACAAAGGAAAACAATAGTCTAACTTGTTTTCTATTTTTATCTTTTCTCATTGTGTTTATAAAACACAAAAGGGATCATATACAAATAGATTCATGAGATTTATGCAGTCACTAAACCATCTTGATTTCATAGTTGTAAAATATGTGTCTCTGTACCTAAGCTGTTAGCGTTATTTTAGCTGTGTTTTCTTTGTGTGTGTGTTTTTTTTTAATATATATTTTATTGATTTTTTACAGAGAAGAAGGGAGAGGGATAGAGAGTTAGAAACATCGATCAGCTGCCTCCTGCACACTCCCTATGGGGATGTGGCCCGCAACCAAGGTACATGCCCTTGACC